ATCAGCAGCATCATCAGCATCATCACCATGTTCATCACCATCATCACCACCATCAGTGTCATCAGTATCATCATCATCTCCATCACCATCACCATCACCGTCAGCAGCATCAGCATCAGCATCAGCATCATCATCATCATCACCATCATCATCGTCGTCATCATCATCATCATCATCATGAGCATCATCATCAGCATCGACAGTGCCAGCCTCGATGTTCTCCGCGAACCCTAGGCGCCAGCCGCCCTTGACTTCGAGCGGCTGGAAGAGGTCTTTCTTGACGACCTTCATGCCGAGTGGCCTGCTCCTGTTCGGCGAAGCCACTGCCTGGGGCGCAGCCTGAGGAACCTCCTCTGCCTCCTCATCCTCCTCGTCCTCCTCGGCGTCCTCGCTCTCCCCGCCCTCGATGTCCTCGTCCTCTCCCTCGGGGTCGGTCGGCGCGCCCTTGCTCATGAACTTGAGGCACCACCGCGGAGGAATCCTCGCTAAGGGATGCCGAACATGAGTGGGGGGGACCCCGATCGGAAGAATGAAACACTTCCTCTTTCTGTGCTTGCTCCTGAACATCCTCCTCCTCCTCAGCATCTTCCCCATCATCATATTCCCCCCCCTCCCCTTCCTCTCCATGTTCGTCACAAGCCTCCTCAACCTCCATATATGTTATGATGTTCACAATATTATCAAACTTGCTTCTATACGTATATGTTTACAAACATTTGTACATTATATATATATATATAGATATAGGCGTGTGTGCGTACATGTTCATCCGGGTGTCCTGCAATTGATGGCCCGCGTAACGCGTCGAATCATCGTGCGCAGCATCCTGGCAACATTCGTGGCCCACTCGTCGGCCTCCGATGCCATGTGCCACATATCCTCCTTGCTCTTCGCGATCTCGAGCAGCGCCGCCTGCAGGGGGGCGGATCGAGATGCGGGATCGTCGTCGTCGTCGTTGTTATCTTCACGCTCCTCATCGCTATCTTCGCTCCCCGTCCGATCATAGTCGTCGCTGCCAATGTGCTACTTCTACTCTCCTGTATCATTCTCCTCTATCCTTCTCCTCCTCTTCCTCCTCCTCCGCCTCCTTCTCCTCGTCCTCCTCCTCCTCCTCCTCCTCCTCCTCCTCCTCCTCCTCCTCCTCGGTTCCAGTGGTCTCGTGTTTGCGACCCTGGCGGCCTTCGCCGCGCTCTGTGTCGGGCTTGGGCCGAGCGCCATCGTCGCCTGCAGCAGCTCCGCGTGCCGCTCGATGTGGCCGATGTCGCGCTGGCTGCCCTGGCCACTGACCACTGTGCAGTAGTCTATGCACGTGGGCGTCTCGATGAAGGGCAGCCACACCTTCTTGAGAGCCTCGGCGTCCTTGAAGCACTCGTCGCGGGCCTTTCGGGGATTCGACCGACCCCTGCCCAGCCCCTCTTTCCAACCTCCCCCTCGGGATTCGCCTTGACCAATACAGACATTTTCTAAAACCTGCGTAGGCCCCCTCGAGTCGTAAAACAACTAACTTTTGATCCTTTGTCAAGGCGAATCCCGAGGGGGAGGTTAAAAGGAGGAACTGGGCGAAGCACGACTCGCACGACGTGAGTTCGAGGCCCCTTGAGGCCTCGATCTCGTACTGCAAAGTGGGCCCGAAAATGCGAGTGTCTAGGGGCCGCATGCGCTCCTGGACGCTCACACATGAGGAGGAGGAGGAGGAGGAGGAGGAGGAGGAGGAGGAGGATAAGGAGAAAGAGGAGGAAGAGGAGGAGGAGGAAGTGGGGGAGGAGAAAGAGGATGGGGGACCGTACTTCTCAGTGGGTGGGTGCGCCCTCACACATATCCAGCTCACCCTCTTCAACAGTTGTTGCTGCGCACTGTGCAACAACAACTGTTGAAGAGGGTGAGCAGGAACTTTCTCTTTCAACGTCTGGTCCCTACCACCTCATCCTCCCCCCCTTCGACTGGAGGAGTGGGTGGAGAGAAGCGAAGCGATGCGTCTCCGCGCATCTCTCCGCATTCTCTCCTATACTCCCTTCTTGAAGGGAGGGTGGGGGGTGGTGGGGGGCAAGATAACATGAGGACGCCTTCTGCTCGACCTCGGCAGCAGGCCTCTTCATGGCCGCTTCGCGGCCCACGGCGCCGCGCGCCGCGGGGGCCTCTGGGCCCGCGGCCCTCGGCCCGCCACTGCGTGGCGGCCGATGGGGCCAGAATGGCTCCGAAGAAGATAAGAGCGACACGAGGTTGAGGGGGTTGGGGTGCGAACGTGCCCAGGGCAATGAGAAACAGGGTCAGTGAAGCATGTTCCGAATTGGTCTGTATATATATATATATATATGTGTACATATGTGTATATATACACATGTTTATGTATATGGACATATACATATGTATGTTTATATATATAGACACATAAAAAATACGATGTATCTGTATTTCAGATTAATCCAGCAATGCGATTGGCGTGTTGTGCGATATTATGCTAGACAGCGATTTCTGCATATTGGATCTGTATTTTAAACCTTCCAGCGCCAACTAGAATACGTACAGCCCAAAACTGGCTGTACGTCTTGTTTCTGGCCGTAGCATGTTCACGGCCAAAAACTAGACATATCGGACCTCAGGGCGCCGACCCGGGCGTCCGGCCCGGGAGCCGGGCCGGGTGCCGGCCCAGGCCCCGGAATCGGCCCGGACGGCCTCCCGGGCGCCGGAAGCAGAAATTCAGCATTTTCGAAAGAGAAATGTGTATTGAAATGGCCTTTTTTCGGCGCCGCCTCGAAACTCGATTTTCTGGCGCCCGGGCGCCCGCTCGGGCGCCGACCCGGGCGTCCGGCCCGGGAGCCGGGCCGGGTGCCGGGCGCCGGAAGCAGAAATTCAGCATTTTCGAAAGAAAAATGTGTATTGGAATAGCCTTTTTTTCGGCGCCGCCTCGGAACTCGATTTTCCGGCGCCCGGGCGCCGGCTCGGGCGCCGACCCGGGCGTCCGGCCCGGGAGCCGCTCCCGGCGGCGAGCAAGAGCACCGAGCCCGAGTAAAAAAGGAGGAAGTCTCGAGCCGGAGCGTTGTTGTTGTTGGGGGGCCGGTTTTGGCGGAACCCCAAAACGCCCGAGCGTGAGCCTCAATTTCAGAGGAAATGCGGCCGGCGCCTCGGCGAGAGCGCCAGGGCGAATATAGGGGGTCCAACAATAATAATTGTTTAGTAATTAAGGTTCAACAACAACAACAACAACAACAACAGCGGTAACAGCAACAGCAACAGCAACAGCAACAGCAACAACAACACCAACAACAACAACAACAACCATAACAGCAACGCCACCAACAAGAACAACACCACCACCAACAACAGCAACAACAACAAACACAACAGTAACAACAGCACAACCACTAACAATAATGGCAACCACAACAACAACATCACCACCAACAACATCAGCCTCAGCATCAACAACAACCACACCACCACCACCACCGCCACCACCACCAACAACAACAACAAACACGAAAACAACAACAACGACAACAACAACAACAACAGCAACATCAACAGCAACAAGAACAACACCACCACCAACAACAGCAACAACAACAAACACAACAGTAACAACAACACAACCACTAACAATAATGACAACCACAACAACAACATCACCACCAACAACATCAGCCTCAGCATCAACAACAACCACACCACTACCACCACCACCACCACCAACAACAACAACAACAAACATGAAAACAACAACAACAACGACAACAACAACAACAACAACAACTGCAGCAACAACAACAACAGCAACAACAACAGCAGCAATTACTAGCACGTGGGGACACTCCGTTCTCACCAGTGCCAGGGTTTTCATAGGAGGCGGGCAATACCCCCACTTTGTGGGGGGGCCGGTTCAAGCTCTACCAAATTTCCAAACGACTCTTCGCCACCACCCACACCCAGCTTCCCGCCCTATGACGTTCGGACACTTCACTTCGTGGCATGCGGACGACCGTGGCTACTATTCAGGGCCCCGCGGCCGACGACGACGGCGTGCGCGCGCGAAGAAAAAACGAATGTGTCCCGCATGGTATTATTTGACAGGGATGATGGCCCTGGCAGGTGCGCAACCGTTGTTGCAGAAGTTCGAAAAAGTTGCTCGCAAAAGCCCGTTTGACAGAAATGTTTAAAAAGTGTTGGGTTTCCTACGAATCCGCAAGAGCGCGCGGGATGAAATTTTGACATAAAAAAAAAAAACAAAAAAAAAAAAAACATTGGTGTTTTGATGTTTTTATGTTAAAATCGCTACGAAAACTAAGGTTTTGGAAGGATTTCGTCTTGCGCGCGCGAATGTCCACTTTACCTTATTTTTTGCAAGGGATTCTTGAAGTTTGGTTATGTTAGAACAAGAAATGTCATTTTATATTGTTTTTTGCAAGGGAAAGCGGGGGGGAACAAAACAACCGGATCCGGACCAATCCGTTTTGCCTGAGACTTCCTCACGAAAATGATGAAAACATGGCTGCGGCCTAGGCGCGGCGAGGGGGCCGTGCACCAGGGGCCCCAACAATAATTATTCTTTAGAAGTAATAATGTTCAATAACAACACCAACGACAGCATCAACATCATCATTAGGTTCCTCATCCGCCTGCTCCTTCTCTTCCTCCTGATCAATGACCAGCGAGCAAGCGTTCCCCGAGGTCTCGGAGGGTCTCTGGAAATCCATGGAGGCCCCCAGAGGTGTCAGAGGCCTTTGGAAAGCGCCACCAACGGCCAAAAGCCTGGATCCTCGATCGGCCAACCTCGATCCTCCTCCTCCTCCTCCTCCTCCTTCTCCTCCTCCTCCTCCTCCGCATCCTCCTCCTCCCTCTTCCTCCTCCTCCGCCTCCTCCTCCTCATCCTCCTCCTCCTCTGTGTTCATTATCCTCTTCCTCCTCCTCCTACTCCTCCTCCTCGTCCTCCTGCCTCCCTCCCTCATCTCCCTCCTCCTCATCACCCTCCAAGGCTGGACGGCCCGGGAACGGTCGCGCGGGTCCTCCTCGCACCACCCGCGCAGCTGCGGCCGGAGCCCACTGCAGTGCGCGGCGAAGTCGCCGGGCGCCCACTCGGCGCTCGCGGGGTCCCTGCAGCGGAGGGGCCGAGAACGCCGCCGACGACGGCGGCGACGGCGACGGCGAAAGGGAGGCAAGAGGAAGTAGGAGAGAAGGAAAGAAAGCAAGGGGATGGAGGAAGAACGGATGAGGGAGGAGAAGGGGGAGGAGGATGAGGAGGGGGAGGAGGAGGAGGACGAGGAGGAGGAGGAAGGGGAGGAGGAGGAAGAGGGAGAGGAGGGAAAGAAGAAGGAAGAAAAAGGACGAGGAGGAGGAGTAAGAGGAAAAAACGCTCCTCGAGAGAAAGAGGAGGAGGAGGAGGAGGAGGAGGAGGAGGAGGAGGAGGAGGAGGAGGTGACAGGTCCTTTTCCTCCTCCCTCCCTCCTTCCTCCTCCTCCTCCCCCCCCCCTCCTCCCGCTATTTCCCGCTACTTCGCGCGCCATTGGGGTCGAGCCACGTGGCGCCACGCGACGGCCGACGGCCGCCAGCTCTTTCCAGCTGCCGGCCGCTGGACGCCCCTTTCTGTGTTTTTCCAGCATCTGGCCGCTGGCCGCCTTGGCTTTCCAGCTGTTGGCCGCTGGCACCCCTTGTTTTTCGCGTGGGACGCAGTCTTCTTCAAACGCCCCTGCCTCCGGCTGGAGGCGGCGCTGCCCTGCTTGTCGCGCAGGCGACTGGCAGCAACCCTTCGGCGCATGTGCGCTGTTGCTGCCAGCCGAGGAGCATGGCCGCTCCGTGAGGCCCGCAGTGGCTGGTGCGGATGTGGCGTCTGCCCACCTTTCTCGCACGCCTGACTAGGCCTCACGTGCGTCGGCCTGGGCCTCCTCTCGTCCTTCGCCTCGTCTGCATGATATCCTGCATGCTGTCTTTGAGCGGCCAGACGGCTGTGATCTCCGCCTTTCTGTCTGGTCTTCTGGATATGATGGGCGCTCGTGTGGATGTGGCGTCTCGTCACATTTCTCGCACACGTCCTTTCAGGTTCTTCGCTGTTGTGGTCGTGGGGCTGGCTGGTCGATGTAGGGCGGGTCGTTTCTTCCAGCGTTCTGCCTCCTGGCTGGAGGCATCGCTGTCCTGCTTGTCACGCAGGAGGCTGGCAGCAACCCTTCGGCGCCTGTGCGCTGTTGCTGTCAGCCTAGAAGCTCGGCCACTCCTTGAGGCCTGGTTTTTGGCGCGTGCCGGCGCGGCGGCTCACCGCCTGTCTCGCGAGCCTGATCGGGCCTCACGTCCTTTGGCCTGGGCCCCCTTGTCCTTCCGCATGTTCATCTGCGTGTTGTCGTGCATGAGCTCCTTGAGAAGGCCAGACGGATGCGGTCTCCCACCTTTCGCGTCTGGCCTTGCCGTCTGGAGGATGCTCGTGCGGATGTGGCATCTCGCCAACTTTCACGCGCGGAGCCCTCCAGAGGTCTTCGATGCTGTCGTCCTCGGTCTGACTGGGCGGTCGGTGGGGTGGGTCGTTGGTCGGTTTTTTGCTGGGCGGGGTGCGGGGTTGTAGTCGCACGTCGTTGGCCTCCATGAACCGACTTCAAGTGGGATTCGCCATGGTCCCACCTCGCCCCGCTATGGCTAGGGGTCACAGTGCCCTCGGTGGGGGCGAACCCCAGGCCTTGTGCTTGGTGGTGCTCGTGGTGGGCTGGGTCGCATCTACCCTGTGCTCCGCCACGTCGGCGTTCGGGTGAGCTCCTCCTCCGCCATCGGGGTGGTGGGGGTGGCGAGCCAGGGCGGCCCGCGGGGGGGCGGGCGGTGGCCGCCCCCCCCCCCGCTGCTCCTCACCATCCCCTGGCGGGTGCGGGCAGTCCTCGTCCTGCCCCCCCCGCCCTTCGAGTCCGTCTCGAAGTTTGAACCTTGCCTCTCCAGGGCATCCGCGACTAGGTCGGTCGTTGCTGGGTGCTGTCGTTGGGTGGTGGGCCGTGGGGTGCTGTTGGTGGGTGGCGGGCAATGGTGGAGGTCATGCTGGCGTGCAGATCGTAGTGTTTACGTGGCGACTTGTGCCTGAGGTGTTCCCGCGCATTCGGGGCTTCCTCAGGACATTGCGTCCTAACGCCTGCAGCTCAACGTGGCGACGTTGCCTGAGGTGCCCCCACGCACTCGGGGCTTCCTCCGGACTTCGCGTCCTAGCGCTAGGTGTGCATGTTCTTTGAGGGGCGTCAGCCTGTTAGGTGGTTGTTGTGGGGCGTCGTCCTGGTGGTGTGGGGCTGTTTGTTTGTCGCGGCCGTCCATCTTTGCTGGTGTAGACTGGGGATACTGGTGAGTGCATGGAGTCGTGGGTGAGCCTCGTGCTGGTATGCTGTGGCTCGGTCTGTTGCGCCTTGATAGGCGCGCAGGTGTCCAGGGATGCTTCTGGACTGCCTGTTGTGCCTTGGTTGCCAGCTCCGTTTATATCGTTGCGGTGGATGGTCGGATGCTGGTTGCTGGAGGTGGTGGTGGTTGTGGCTAGTGCGTGGTTGGTCGAGTTGTGTAGTGCGTGTTGGTCGGGCGCTTGTATATGCTGGTCAGTCGGTTGGCTGGTGCCTGTGTTGGCTGGTAGGTTGGAGGTCGGTTGTGGTGCCGCTGCGTTGCTATGGGTGGTATGTAGGGCGTCGAGGAGAGGGTGTGCTGCGAATTCAGGTTTCCCGCTCCAGCCCTCACGGCCTGACTGAACAAGAGCTCGCGTGGATAGGTGCAAGGAGCATGCCGTCAAGATCGCAGCGGAGGGCGGTCAGAGAGGGGGTGAAGGGGGTGAGGAGAGTTGTCCGCTGGTTGGCTCGTGTCGGTGGTGGCTGTGGTGGCGGTGGTGCATGCCAGGCGTCAGCCTTGGCCCAATCTCGTGCCTCGTGCAAGTCGAGATTCTTGATGGGTCGTCCAGGGTGGGTGAGGTGGTGGTCGCTGCACATCTCGCGTGACAGGCATGGGTCGAGGGGCTGGTAGAAGTGGAGGCAGTCGGGCTCGATGTACCCGTATCGGTCAAGTGAGCTTGCGGCGAACCTCTGAGCCACTTGGGTGGCCAGGGCTTCCGCTGCTGCTTGGCACATCGTGGGCGGGTATTCCTTGGCTGCGCTTGTGTTCCAGCTTCCCTGCTCGCCCACGCCTGCGAGCTCCTGATGGTAGCGTGCGGTGTGGAAGCATCCCCCCTCGCCTGGGAGGCGTCGGAAGCGTTCGCGCAACGCAGGGAACGCCACCGCTAGAAGAGTGGTAGTCTTCTTGGAGGGTGCTCCGCAGGCGCACTGGTCGAATGTGATGGTGTCGACGTTGGGCTGAGCTGCTAGACGCGCGGTCTCTGGCAGCCGCCAGCTGCTGGGCATGCGTTGCTCTCGTGGTTCGGCAGGACGTTCTAGAAGCTCAGGTATGTCGTACACCGCGCAGGCGTATTTGCCACATGTCTGAAGTTCGGTGGCACCCCTCGCGCAGATCGCAGGGGTCAGGGTCAAACAGCACATGGGATTTGCAACATTTCAATACATCGTAGAAAAGCCTTTTGCACAGCATACGCGAGCAATCTCGACATGCAACACCGAATTCAACAATATCATCAGAATCTCAGCGTGTCTTGCCGGTTACTCATCGTCTTCGCGTGAAGTGCCGACGCTGCTTCACGGCGGTGCCAAAGCCTCATGACTTCGCTCTTGCATTGCCCATTATCCGAGAGAGGGGGCGCGGCAGGGGGCGAAGCCCTTACGGATAATGTTCATCATCCTCATCAGCATCATCCCCCTGGACATCATCAGCATCGCCATCATCATCTGCGTCAGCATCATCGTCATCATCATTACCATCGGCATCGTCAGCACCATCAGCATCAGCATCATCAGCACCATCGTCACTCCTCATCATCATCCTCTCCCACAGCGTGATTATAATAGCAGCGAATTCCAACGAACGCATCGCTCCTCCTACGTCCTCCCTCCTTTTCCGCCTCCTCCTCCTCCTCCTCATCATCATCATCACAAGCATCATCAGCATCAGCATTATATCATCATCGTCGTCATCATCATCAGCATCATCATCAGCATCATCAGCGGCACCAGCACCATCATCACCATCGCCATCGCCATAATTATCATCACCACCACCACCATCATCATCATCATCACCATCAGCATCAGCATCAGCATCAGCATCTTCAACATCATCATCATCATCTATATCCTCTCCATCATCCTGATCGTCGTCCTCGTCATCTTCACAGCCGTCCTTCCTTCCCCCCTCGTACGTAGCTGTTCACCCTCCTGGTGCTCCACACTCTGGAGGCCTTGGAAGTCACCGACCTTCGGAAAAGGCCTGGATCCTCCCCCTCATCGTCATCTCATCATCATCATCATCATCATCATCATCATCACCACCATCACCACCATCACCATCACCATCACCACCATCACCATCACCACCATCAGCATCATCATCATCTTCATCATCAACATCATCGTCATCATCAACTGCATCATCCGCATCATCATCGTCATCATGATCAGCATCGTCATCACCATCATCATCATCACCCTCATCCAGATCCTCCTCCTCATCATCATCATCATTATCCCCGTCATTATCATCATCGTCATCATCATAATCCTCATCTTCACAATCTTCACATCCTCATCCTCACCCTTACCCTCATCATCCTCATCCTCATCCTCATCCGCATCATCATCACCATCATCACTATCATCACCATCACGATCACCATCATCATCTCCGTCCTCATCATAATCAGCGTCACCATCACCGTCATTATCATCATCAGCAACAGTATCAGCATCATCCTCCTCCTCATCATCATCATAATCATCATCATCACCATCATCAGCATCATCATCCTCATCCTCATCCCGCATCCCTCATCATCCCGCCTCCTCCTCCTCCTCCCGCATCCCTCCTCATCCCGCCTCCTCCTCCTCCTTCTCCTCCTCCTCCTCCTCCTCCTCTCGCATCCCTCCTCACCCCGCCTCGCTCCTCATCCGCCCCCCCCCCCCCGACCTGTAGGACTCGTCGTACGTGCCCCGGGGGAAGGTGTTGAGGTTCACGTCGCCGTGCCTGCACCGCGGGGGCTCGAGGCGGAGGGGGCCCGCACCGCCGCGCCAAGTGCCTTGCCGAGTTGGCGAGCCAAGGAGACGGGCGGCAGCGCGGCAGCGGCGAGGGGCAGCGTTCGGTCAAGGCGGGGGCGGCGCCCAGAGCGGGGAAGGTCCGAGCGAGGAGGAGGAGGAGGAGGAGGAGCACGACCAGTGTGAGCCCAAGACCCATCAGCGATACTGCAATAAGCTCTCCCTCCTCGTAGGCCTCGTTTCGTACCGAGAGCGGTGCCCCGTTGGAGGAAAGCCGTTCGAACGTCCCGCACCGTGCGCGCCTGTGGCGACGGTGCGGCGGCCGGAGGCCAGAGTCGAGACTCCAGCTCGGGCGTCGCTTCGTGGGGGGGGGACGAGAAGGTCCGGGTCAGCTGCCCTGTGTAGCTGGCCTTGGTTTAGTGGCCTTGGTTCAGTTGGTCTTGGTTCAGTGCTGGCCTTGGTATTGCCTACCAGACCACCCCAACCCAACCCGAAGACCCGAATTTGACCCGAATTTCGGGTTTGGGGGGGTACGGGCTCAATGTGTTTTTTCCATGTTCCCCGACCCACCCCCCCTCCCACTGGAAATGGAGGGCAAATTGACGCCTTCGGGTTGGGTTGGGGTGGTTTGGTGGGTGGTGAGGTAACTATGGGGGCCCGCCCCATTCCGCTAATTCATCGGAGCTGCCGCCACCCTAAGTCACACCAGTTCCGGCAGACCGGGTGTGGTGATCTTGGTCCACATTTCGGGCTTCTTGGGCCTCGCTTCATGGGGGGGGGAGAGCTGCCCTTCTCCGGCCCTCCAGGCCCCCTTCTGGGCCCGAAAGGGCCCCTCTGGGGGCCCCAAAGGCTCCCTTTGGGGGCCTTTGGGGCCTGCTCGGTCACACGCAAGAGTGGCCGGATCCTCCTCCTCCTCCTCCTCCTCCTCCTCCTTCTCCTCCTCCTCCTCCTCATCCTGATAAACAAGTCCTCCCTGTCGCACCCCAAAGGTGGGCAAACCCAAGCGCGCAGGCCAGTCCTGAGGGGACCCTTGTGGGCCCTGGCAAAGGTCGCGCTTACAGTCGAGGCGTTGACCTAAAGAACCCTAAATGAGGAACGAGGCCCCTATGTTCCATAAGTTGAGCTTCGATTTCGTATCAAAAACCTAAGGAAAATCCAGGGCAAACTGCGAAACAATTAAGGAACACGGAGCCCCTCCCCAACGAAAAGGGTTCCTTCTTCAGGGCCCCGACTGTACGCGTGGCCGACCAGAGCCCGGGGACGGTTCCGCTTCCATCACCTCTGCCTAGCGGAGGGCTTCCGGGGAGACCCGAACTGCAACAGACCTCCGCATGAGGCCCGAGCCAAAGCCTGAAGACCAACGGAGGAAGGATGCAGAGGGCGCCCAAACAGTGGAGGCCAGTTCACATGAAACCTTCCACGAGAAACCCAACACTGAGACCCCAGGACGTCCCTTGTTTTTTGGTGTGGGAACGTCACGCCTTCCGTGGCAAAACCATCGGGACCCACGAAACCCAGGGCACCCTGGAGGCAAGCAGGGTGTCTCGTGGCACGGGTCTCCACTGCAGCCAGAAAACCGACGGAGGAAGCGTGCGCAGAGGGCGCCCGCACACCAACACTTAGGTCGGGCATGTCCCCCTACAGGCGGAGAAGGGAAGAAGCATGCAAAATAGTCAAACATGTTCAAAGCATACGCAAGAATAATCAAAAAAACGTCCCCAGACTATTCTGTGTGACTATCTTTGAATATTCCTCCTGTAGGGGGACAGGCCCGACTTCAACCAACACCGTGCCTGGCCAGAGCCATCCTGGGCCCTTGCATTGTACATGCGCCTTACTGGCCAGGGCCAGGAGGGCCTGAACAGCCAGAGGGCCCAGGAGGGCCCAGACCAGGCGTGGGGGAGGTGTGCGAGCGCCTTCTGGGGAAGTCAGGGAAGGATCGGCGTCGAGCGAAGGGGGAAGTGAGAAGGAGAAGGCCTTCTCAGAAGGTTCGGAAGTCCCCCAGCCTTCTGAGAAGTTTTCAAAGCCTCCCCTGAAGACAGACAAACTTCTCCGCGAAGGCGCGAGGGCTTCTGAGAAGCCCCGCCGCATTCTGAGAAGGCCTTCTCCTTCTCATTTCCCCCCTCGCTCGTCGCCGAAAGGAGGATCGAAGGCTCCCGAAACGTTCCCGCAGTGCCTTTGCCTTCAGGGGCCAACGGAGGCACCCGCGGAGGCCTCCCCCGGGGACCCTCCCGGGGAGGAGGCCTCTCGAGACCGCAGGCAGCCTCCGGAGACCTCCGGGCCGGCCGGGCGGCGGAGAGGGGGGGGCCCCGTGTGCGACGGGGGGCACGGCGACCTCACGCGGTGGCTCTGCGTGGTGGCGCGCACACCGCACGGAGGACACGACGCGCACGCGCGACCCGTCGCGGGCAGCCTGTCCGCGAGTGCCCACGCGGTCGCCCCGGCTTCTTGTACTGTCGCCGTCGGGGCTACCACTTGAGCAGGGACCGACCGTCCCGGCATTCCTATAGGCCTACCGCCACATGTTCTTAGAACCCCATACATCTTCTAAGAGCAGAAGAACAGTATCCTTAGAATCACGACAGTCTCGGCCAGGAAATGTTCCAAGAACACATCTCTCGTGCAGACCACAAGCGGCTTGCAGACAATCGTTTGGTGGGCCGATGGTCCAACCGAGACGCTCCGCCCCGTGATGGGCTGCAGAGGTTGGCCTCTGCCCCAGTCCTTGGGGTGCTTCTCCTGCCTCCTCGCCTCCTCGCCCATAGCAGCACCACCTCCAGTGCCGCGGCCCCTGCCTGCGGGACGCCTTCGACCTCTGGGTCGTCGTCGTCTCCTGACGCCCCTGCCGCTCCCTGCTTCAGGAAGCCTCCTGTCTCCTCCGTGGCCTTCTTCGCCCAGGCTCTCCAGCCTTCTCGAACCACAGGGAAACCCAAGCAGGGAACGAGGCGGCTCCTGTGGCCACGGCGGGACTCGGCCCCGAACAGGCGCCCCGACCTAGGAGGACCACGGCCCCTCCTGGGCCCGAGGCTGAGTATCGTTTAACCGATCCCCGTCCTGGCGGCGCGGCCTGGGCCCCGCTGGCCGATTTACCCCTCTAGATAGGGGAGGGATATAGGCATAGGTCGTTCTCTTCGGGTTTCGAGGGGTGTATCCCCAACTGGAGTGGTAATTTGGTGGGGGTCTCGAAGGGGATGGAAATGGGGATGGGGATCGGTTAACCGATACCGAGAGGCGGTCATTCTTTTTTGGCGTCGTGGCCGTGGGTCGCTCTCGGTCGGAAAAGCGAGGCCACAAGGCAAGGGAAACCCGGGGGCAGCGGACGACAACACCACTGCCTTGGGCGTTGCGTAATGGGGGAGTCATATGATGACACTGTTTTCCACCACCACCATATAAGTTGGAGGGGGAGGGGGTCCTCCTCCTCCTCCTCCTCTTCCACCTCCTCCTCCTCCTCCTCCTGCTGCTCCTCCTCCTCCTCCTCTTCCACCTCCTCCTCCTCCTCGTCCTCCTCCTCCTCCCCCTCCTCCCCCCCAACTTCTGGTGGTGGGGGTGGTGGAACACAGGCCCATCACCATACATGGGTGGGTGGCGAGGGTGGTCCGAAAAGGTACCCAAACGGTACCTAAACGAGCCCCCTGGGGCCCCAGAGGGGCCCGAACGGGGCACGAATCGGGGCCGTTTCTGACCCCCCCCCCATTGATGCTCTCCCCCATTAAGCCACGCCCAAACTGCCGAGGGCAGTCGGAACGTCGGGGATCAGGCCGAGCCGCTTGAGATAGGCTGCCTGCAGCGCAGCGCAAGACCAGGGGCAGGGAGAGTCGGGGACGAGGCCAGGCACAGGAGACTCTGACAGCAGCAGGGTGCAGCGCCAGGGCTGAGGGCTCGGGAAGGGCTTGGGACTGGACAAGGGAAACCTGCGTAGACGAATCGACACTAGTCAAAGCCCTTCAAGTTCAGCACTGCTCTTCTTTCCGCGGGAAGTCACCGCGCATCACGAAGAACTGAAAAACCTAAGGTGGCGTGGCGAAAATCAAATAGCCTCTTGATGCGCGGCCCCACTGTATTGACGTCCATATGCATAGTGACCGCCATTTTCATCCTGATACTGATTGGCAGTATGGGATTCATGTCCGCTCTCTCTCTCTCTCTCTCTCTCTCCCTCTCCCTCCCTCCCTCCGTCCCTCTCTCTCTCTCTCTTTCATTTGTCCCAGCCATCCTGTGGTGTTGGGTCCTCGTTTTGAAGAGACAGCGCCCCGCGTTCTCACTCCTCCTCCTCCTCCTCCTCCTCCTCCTCCTCCTCCTCCTCCCCATCCTCCCTCAGGCGCTGTGGTCCGAGGCGCCCCGTTTTGGGCTAGCAGCCCGAGAGGCCACGACCCCAGCCCCCAGAGAGGGGCGCAGCCGCGAGACGGGCGCGCGGCCGCGATCGCGCCCGCCTGCGTGGCATCGACGAGAGCGGCGCCAGCGGGCAGCGTCCCGACTCCGACTCAGACGAGAGAAGGACATCGCCCGCCTCGAGGCTCACCACGGGAGCATGGCGCCAGGCGAGGCAGCATGGACGACCTGCAAGAAGTGCCCGACCTGGTGGTGGCACGCCGCCCTAGAGAGCAATGACTACTGGTGCAGCTGCGGATGCCGAGTGGCCAAGCCCAAGACGGGCAAGCCGCAGCAATGGCAGCAGAAGCAGCAGCAGCAGCAGCAGCAGCAGCAGCCCAAGCGGTGGCAGCAGCAGCAGCAGCAGCAGCAGCAGCAGTCCATCGGCGAGCGAGCGAGACCCCGTGGCGGAGGAGGATCCAGCAGCGGCGACGCCAAGGCTGGCGACGTCGCCCAGCTGGCATCGGCTCTGAAGACGGTCACGGAGTCCATCGGCACGCTGAAGCTCGCGAATGGTGATGCCATCGCACAGCAGCTCGCGGGCGTCGCTGATGCGCTCCAGGAGGCGCCAAGGACGCAGACCAAGTCACGAGCTGCGCGCTTGGCTGAAGCGGCGAAGGAGCTCGAGTACGCCAACAAGCAGTACAGGTGGGCGTTCGAGCAGGAGGGGTCAGCACAGCAGAAAGGCGAGAAGGCCAGTGCGGCCCTGAAGGAGAGAGCGGACGCGGTCGCGAAGGCTGAGCGCGAGATCGAGGAGACCCAACAAGCGGGCAAGCCGAACACCAACCAGCACAGCATCTTTGAGCAGCTGCTCGACACGGACGCGGGCCTGCTCTCTCCGAGCGACGTGCAGGTCGCCGAAGTGGAGCAGGAGTTCGCACACGCGGATGACCTGGACGAGCAGGGCCGCAAGGAGATCGACGACGCCAAGCGCCAGGTGCTGGAGCAGCTGCAGAGGAACATCGGGGAGTTCGCGGGCCAGCTGACGCAGCACCTCCAGGCGGCAACGCTGAAGGCGGAGCAGGAAAGAGCCGAGATCCCGCAGGCCTGCAAGAAGAGGAAGGCGGATTCCTCGGCAGCGGCGACAGCGACAGCAGCACCTGCAGCACCACCGCCAGCAGCAGCCGCAGCCTCAACCCCAGCAGCAGCCGACGAAGACGAGAACACGGAGATTAAGGAGACGGACCCTGCGGAGGACTACCCCAAACAGCGGCGGACCGCGGCGGCCTCCTCGGAGGCCCCCGCGACCCACTGACGATCACGGCGCGGTGGGAGGAGGCAGTTTGGCGACGACTCCCACCACGAGCACCACATCTTCTGCGCCAACATCACGCGGTGGGACCCGAAAGTCTTGAGCTGGCTGCGCCACGATGAAGCACGGCAGCTGTACAACGTCTACGCGTTGCAGGAGGCCCACCTGGCCCACCACGAGCTCGACAGCACTGAGCACAAGCTGCAGAAGACGGGCTTCTCAGCAGTGTTCACAGCAGCGCGGGCAAGCGACAGAAGCGAGATAGGTACTTGCGGAGGCACGAGAGCCCTCGTCAAGGGCCACCTCAAGGCGACGTCGTATCAATGCCCCCCGTGGGGGCTATAACTGCATCCATCGAGAGCGAGCTCGAGCACGAAAGCGGGCAGCGCGCTACAGTGGCCGCACGGGCTAACATCACCACATTCAAGGAACAGGACCAGAAGGAGAGCGAGGGGAGAAGGGAAACACGCAACGTACTGCAATGCATCTGCCCTCGCCCTCCGAGGCCCAGGCCTGACTCTCGCAACCCAGGGCCTCCTCAGCCGCAAAACATCATGGCTACACTGGACGAGTCAATGCATCCACACCTAGAGCCGGAAGTGCCATGCTGCAATGCCCGTGCGAACCAAGAAAGGAGGAGGGAGGAGGAGGAGGAGGAGGAGGAGGAGGAGGAGGAGGAGGAGGAAGAGGAGAACAAGACAGAAGCAAACAAGAGGGTGCTCCGAAGATGGGCTGGCGTCCCCTGGGCCAAAAAGCAGCTCGCGAGCGCGCAGACCCGGTAGGACGATGTCCGAGGTACCCGCATTGAGGTCCTGCACGAGCGAAGGAAGAGCAAGCAGGGAAGAAGGAGGCGGCGAGGAACGCAGAGAAGCATACGAGGCGGAGCGGTACTGTAAACCGCACCCCTAGTCCCAATCAGAGCGGGGGCGAATACCGAATAGCTCAAGTAGGTACGGAAACCTGATGATTATGGGCTACCGCGCCCTTCGCGAAGAAACCTGTTGTACGCCCCCGCGAACTCGGAGCGAACAGAACTACCGTTAATGGATGCCAGTGTGAAGCCGGGAGAGAGAATAGAAGGAGAGAGCGCGCTGCAGGACAAGAGTGTCGCCCTCCAGCACGTCCGAGTCCCCGCTCGGAAACATGCAACATAACAAAATCCAGGGTGCTCTCCGGAGCTGGAGAATGTCCATCGAGATCGGAGGCAATCGGCCTTCGAATTACTGGGCATGGTGCAAAAATGTGCCAGACTGTCTTCGACGATGTTGCAACCAAATGAGCACGGGCTGCGATTTGGGAACCAAAGCCACGTGCACCACCCGTCGCAGAAGAAAGTACGGAAATAAGCGGCCTGAACTCGAGGGGTCGCGCTGCGCCCAAAAATTCGGAAAGTCGTCTAAGCGCGCTCGACCCGATAACCTGGCAAGGTCTGAAGCGGCCAGCTGTCAAGCCGCCGACGAAGGTGGACGAGACCAACAAGCGGTGCCGTTTATGTGAACAATGTCATAACTCGGCCCTGCCAGCCGCAGCGAGCGCTGAGAATAGAAAGAGGTAGTTCTACCGTTGCTGGCAGAAAACCGGGGGGGGGTCACTGGAGGTTTCCAACCCGTTCCCCCCTACCCACCCGTCCCCTCCCCCTCTTGAAAACCGTGGGGGGTCACTGGGGGTTCCAACCCCCCCTCCCACACCCAGTCCATCATGAAAAGAAGGAAGGTCACTACCGGTTCGAACCCCCACCCCCCCTTCCTGGAAAACCGGGGGGGGGGGGGGTCACTACCGGTTTGAGCCCCGCCTCCCTCCCTCCTCCCCCCCCCTCCCCCCTCGCCGCAACGACACCCCCTTCTCTCCCACTCCGGATGGGGGAATGGTGGGGGCAGTGGTTGGGAGGGTCGGATCGGATCGGATCGGATCGCCTGTGCGGGCATGCGCCCGGGCCCCTTAAGGGCGAGGCGGGGGAGGCCATGGCCTCGCATGAGAGGCAGCGCACGTCGGAGGCTTGCTCAGGATAATGCGTCCCTCACGAATTGATCTTCCAATTGTTCCCACTCCTCTGCTGTCATCCGGTGTAATGACGTAGTTTCGCTGAAGTCGTAGTGTCTGTGGCATGAACCTGTCGGAGAATCCCGTGGATGTCATCGTCCTATCTGTAACCACGAAGCCCAAGCCAAACACGAACGAGTTGACCGCCTCGGAACTCCAATCCAGTGCACACGGGCGCAGGATCACTCGTGTTCTCACGAGCTCATTGACACATCCTTCAAACACCACTCAGGGCGCAGATACACGCGCAGCCGAAGGCCCATAAGCTGGAGGTCGATTGGCGGTGGAAACGGGAAGTCGGAGGCTAGAAATTTGAGGTCGGGATGTTGTGCTGGTGGAGGGTGGAGGTCGATTGGTGGAGGTAGAAGTCGAGAGTCGGATGCTAAAGGTTGGTTGCTGGAATGCTGATTTGGTGAGTGGCGAAGGGACACTGGGACAGTGGTACAGCGGTGGTGGGGACGGTGGTGGGGACAGTGGTGAGGGCGGTGGTGACAACGGGACAGTGGTACAGTGGGGAGAGTGGTGGGGACAGTGGGAACAGTGGGACAGTGGTGGGGACAGCTGGACAGCTCAGTGGGACAGCGGTGGGGATAGTAGGGGCAACGGGGCAGTGGTGGGGACAGTGGAGACAGTGCGACGGTGGTGGGAGCATTGGTGGGGACAGTGGGAACAGTAGTGGGAAGAGTGGGGACAGTGGGACAGTGGGGGTGGCGGTGGTGGTGGGGACACTGGTGAGGGCGGTGGAAAGGACGGCGGTGGGGACCCAGGATTTGTTTGCCAGCGGCGACGGGGAGGGGAGGTTGGGGGAATCGAACCAGTAATGACCCCCCGGTTTTCTGGCGGTGGGGGGTTCGAACCGGCCGTGACCCCTCCCGGTTTTCCAGGGAAAGGGGGGGGAGGGGTTAGGGGGGGGCTTTGCCGGGTGAAGGGGGAGGGGGAGGGGGAGGGGGAGGGGGAGGTTCGAGCAGAGGGGGGATTTTCGGAGGGTGGAGGGGGGACCCCCGGGCTCTGGAGGAAGAAGGAGGGGGATGTTTCATAGGAAAGCGGCGGTGGATCACGCTCGCTCTGACATGAATATCCCTCGCTGGGAGGAAGTTAGGAAGCACGCCCGCCGCCGCCGCAGAAACGCTGTCAGCAGCGGCCAGCTTGAAAAGGAAGCAAACTTGCACCCATGACTGCCTCCATCCAGCATGGACCAAAGAGCGCCTCGGGTGAACAAAAAGATTCCGCAGTGCTGCTGCACGTTCCTGCACGCAGAGGCCGCCGCGGGGTGGAATGATCAAAGCGCGCTACGCGGGCCTTCGCGGCCGCAGCCACTGCAGCGATATATTAGGAAGCTCGCCAGGGGTGCGAAGGAACGCAAATCCCGAAGGCAGGATGACACCATCCATCCCGTCGGGCTTTATGGCAACAGTTGGCATGCCTTCTGCTCGTGGACAGTAATATCTGAAGGGGGGGTCCTCCAGCTGGGCTACAAATTGTAGCAGCGAGCTGATGTACACCCAGTAGGCCTGCAGTGACAAACACAAGCCTAGGCCGAGGCGGCCCAAATCTCTGGCTCTTTCGATGTATTTGCGTAGCGGGGCGTCCCATGAGCCAGCCACCCTCCCGGGGCCAACCACGAAACCATGATATTTTGCAGCACTTCTGTCCGGACCCCACCCAAACCGAGGTCCTACGCGCCACCTCGTCCCGAAATTCTTGCTCGTGGAACTGGAAGAGCGGCACAATCACGTTTTTCTGTATTTCGAGCTGGACGAGCGAACGAACCGCTACCGTCGCGCCAGAGCGCGTCCCTCGGGGGACGGGCGGAATGGGCCCCAGCAGTCAGCAATTGGAGTGCTCGTAATAAACTGTCCGAGGGCAGCAGAAATCCTGTTCCATGTCTCTCCGCCACTTGTGGTTTCTAGCGGCGCGCGGCCAACTCATACCATCCACACCATACCCGACAGCCGAAAGAAACTGCAATATCTCGTTGTTCCATCGTTTGGAGGGCCCGTGTGGTCGTCGGCCCCATGCTGTGTAACACTCCGCCGCGTTCCAAGTAGTTGCGTTCACTGCCCACTAGCCCCTTGGCATGTCAGTCAACCTTGGTGCATAACGCCAGATTTGCGCCTCCACGCAACGCCCCAACTGTCAATGTGAAGCTCGGCCATGTGATGTTCCACTTGTGCTGTTGATTCAATGTATCAAAGTCTGGATCGTTTCTAGAATAATTGAGGAAGGTTCGATTTCATTGCTTGGTGGTGGAAGAGACGAACTCGAAGCCGGAGACGATGAGATATTGAAGAGACTGGAGGTCAAAAGCCAAACCGAATTCCATAAAAAAAATCTGAAACGGCCGAAGACAAGCAAATCCGCTTCTAATAACCATGGCAAGATCGTCAGCCCACGCGCGCGCGCACGCAGAGGGGGATGCCCCCGCAGCCTGCGCATCATGAGGACTGTGGCCATGGCAAACAAAAGAAAATAGAGAGAAAGAGAGAGAGAGTGGGCAACACTGGCGGATGCCACGCGTCAGCGGAAAGCCTTGGAACCGGGCTCCGCACAGGCTGATGGAACAGAAACTGTCCTGATACAGGATGCCGATGGCTCGGAGGAGCCAGGGGGCGGGCCATCCTAACGACGCAAAGAACGCATGGAAATACTCGCGCTCAATGGAGGGAAGAGCGGCGGCAGAATCATAAAAGAGCGCTAGGCCGTCCTCCCCTTCCGTGGCTACTTGCGCCAGCGCCTCGTCGACGTCCAGGAGGCTGGCGATCGTTGACCGCCCTGGCAAAAGCGCCCTCTGGCCCCCGACGATCGATTTTTTCCTCGGGTTGCCAGAGGAACCCTCTGGCCCCCGATGATGAGCGGCTCAATCGATGGCTCCAGCACCGCGCGGATCGAGCTGGCGAGAGCCGACTGCTGCAATTCGTCACGCTCGTTGGCTTCGCCAAGGGCTATGAAGGGACGCGTGGATATTTTTTCCTTCTCACATTTCATTTTAGTGGTCTCGTGCCGAACAACGACAGATCTTATTGAACTGATCTGCTCAACAAAAAAACAAACGCGCGCAAAATCCACTGCGGATGCCCTCAGAGGAAAACGAACAATGGAACGCTGCATAAGCGGCGCCGGCGCCCCGCCCGCAGTCCAACTGCAGACAAAACCACAAATGATCAGCCCGCCGGAAAGTTCACGAGCATTGCGGCGGGGGCGGTCATACATCGAGCGAGGGCAGCGGAATTATAGCCGCCTGATGGAGCTCAGCCAAGGGCTACAAACAT